GAAAGTGGCACTTCCGTCCCGGGTACGACTGCGAAGTCGTGCCCGATGTCCCGCAAGATGGCACGCATGTGCTCCGGGACGACCTTGCGGTCGTACCATCCATTTCGAAAGGCGACACGGCGGACGCGCAGTACCGCACGTCCGACGTGCCCCACCACTCCACGACCGGATGTCGAGTAGTGGGTACGTCCCAGATGGACGTACCGACCTCGATATCTCCTTCTTTGCCCGTACCCACAGCAGCAAGTGTGCGACGACCGTGAAGTTCGTTGTGCGCGTTGCGGGCCAGGAAGACGGCATGTCCGCGCTGCAGGACGACCCAATGGTCGTACCGTCCACACTGCAAGGCGGCGCACCTGCGTTAGGGGACGACCTCACGGTCGTACTCTCCAATTCGCAAGGTGGCACGATGGACACGCAGCGATGCATGTCCAACGTGCCCCATTCAACCTCGACTGCCGGCTGTGCAGCGCGTACATCTAGATCCTTGCTCGATGTACACGGTGATAACGATCACCATTCCCCGTACATCACTGACCTCCTGTCGGACAGTAGCCTCGCGCTCACATCAGTGTCTCAAGGCAGACTGCACTTCCGTGAGGAAGTGCAGGTCCCCGGCGGATTCAGTGCAGCTGAACCCCTGTGGTTCAGTTGGCCAAGCCGTGGAACGACCCCGACGACCTATGTCGCTACCATCTCGACCCCGCAAGATCTCTGGAGAGCCGACCGCTGCGGATGGCCTATCGCAGAGAGGCCCGTACCGTCCTTGGCGAGAGCAAGCAGTCCGCACCCGCGCAGATGAACCTCCTACGGTTCAACTGGCAGGCCCTCCGGACGGATTTGATCTCACGTCCGACGGTCACCACTCGTACGCGGACGACTTCCAGGAGGATTCGCACATCCTACCGGAAGTGCAAGCCTCCGTTTGGCCTCCAAGACAGCTGAACCTTCAGTGGTTCAGCTGGCGAGCCTCGACCTCTCGTACGGCCGGCACATTGTGCATCCAGTCGTGAGGCAAAACAGCCCGTACATCCTCATGGAAGTACGGGCCTCTGGCGCAGTCAGTAACCGCGCCCGGTTCAGCTAGCAGCACCTCGGAGTGACCTCGACTCCGGTGCTTCCATCAACCACCCTCGCGATCCCTATGACCCGGCGACCCTGCAACTCGACCCTCGCGTCGTCCCAACGGACGCGCGAGCTCAAGGTCGCAACTCATCTGCGGCACTACCGGTAGTACAGCCGCCAGCGCTTACGGATCCCGATCGACCAGAACGGTTGCTCGACCGTCAACCCGGCGAGAACTTTACAGTTCTCGCCGATGGTTCGCTCCTAGGGACCCCTCGCCAACATCATGTCGACATCTCCGCGCCTCCCAACACCGTTGGAGACTACGACGAGTACGACGAGCCCCAGGACGATCGTGCACTCGGAAGCTCGCACGAAGGGTGGAAGGATGGGCTGGACAGGGACGGAGAAGACGTGGACGAGGGAGTGGAAGCAGGAGATTCCGATGGGGACGGTCAGGCAGAAGGAGGAGAGGGGGAAGGGTGCAGTGTACGCGAAGAAGACGAGCAGACGTGCTCGAAAGATGAAGGTACGCCCCTGTTGGACGTACCTCCCTCGCCTCTACCACCATCTCCTATACCGCCACCACCACCCGTAACGACCACGACAACCAATGCGGTTGTCGTGGCAGTCACCACGTGCGTCGGCGGTACAGACGACCCACGGGGCGACCTACAGGTCGCGACTGGCACGGTCACGCAACGCGGTACGATCGACGAGCGAGCGAGCTCATCCAAGGAGCTCGGCGGCGACCAGGACAGCGAGTACCTTGCGGTAATCGCCCCACCATCACCACCTACGGTACCACTACCCGCGTCGATCGCGACCATCCGGAAGGTCGTCGCAATCGACAGTGGCCCGTCCACATCACAGAGCGACAGTGTAGTCGCATCAGCAGCCACGCACGGCGGCGCGTCCGGAGCGCATACACGCACTACCGACTCGCCCCACCTCGCCACGACGGGTGCGGCACCGCCATCGAGCTTTATGCTCAGTGTAGGTGCTGCCGAACATCCTTCTAAGGAGGAGTGCGAGTACCCCAGGGTACTCGCACACCCACTGGATCCGCACGCAGAGGGTACGGCATACAGACATGATCGTCCGACTGCCAAGGGCGAGTACCGTGAGGTACTCGCCAACTCATCTTCTTGGTTCGCAGTGCCACCGCCGTGTCGCACTGGGATGAACCATTCCACCGTCGTAAACGAATGTCAGGATGGAATAGTGGCCGGGCCCCATTCGGTAGATTGCGAGCAGTCGACCAAGACGCCTACCACGGTAGACGTGCGATGGGCTGCACCCGAGAATCAATGGCAACCGTCGGGACGCTACGTGCTACCGGCACGTCGCGTTCAGCAAGACCGACGCGAGTTGGTTGTGTCTTTCGACGGCGAGCACCAGCCCAAGTACCATGGAGTATTTGGCACGCCCAGCGAACGAGACCGGGAGCTACCGCCGCCAAGCACATCCACGATGGATGTGTCGCTGCTTCCTCCGGACCTGGCCCAGTCGAACGATTCGACGCGGATTGATGATCCTACGTCAGGAGCAAGAACACCTGGCGAGAACGAATCGTCGTTCTCGCGGGTGCGCAGCACGGCAGGCACTTCGAGTGAAGTGTCCGCGTCGACTTGCACGACGAGGAGGTCGTCACGCGCCCAAACGAGGTCGCGTTCCCGGGAGCTAGTTGGAAGTTTTCCGATGCAGCTGGATGAACTGGACGCCCCATCGGCACGAAGGCAAGAACCGTCGGACACAGGTGAACAGCAATGTTCACCTACTATTGGAGGTACCGAGACCGAACCAGTGCGGGTGCATGAGGGGGCTACCGTCGTCATGAGAGGGGGCACTCTCCAAAAAGGGGAAGGGAGCGGGGCCTCGAGCGGCCACCGCTTGCGTCACACCACCACCAGTACATCTCGTGAAGATGTACTGGTCTCGAATCCTGCAGCTACATGGACGCCAAGCCGTGAGCTTGACGTACAGGTTATCCATGGGGACTCGACGCGAAGGTCAGCTACTCGCACATTGAGCCAGGGACTCAATGTGCAGTACACCTCACGAGTGGCCAGTACATCACATAGTGGTGTAATGGGATCGGACGCAGTCACAGGCTGTACATCCAGCGTTGAGCTCGACGTACGAGCTTCACGTCGAACATCGAGACAGGAACCACCTGTACCACGCGTGTCGAGCGATCGACTCGACATACAGAATACAGGTGACCGTTGCGGCCACGACCTTACTCGGGAAGATGGTACTTCGCGCCGTGAAGTACCAGTCTTGAACCAAGCATGCACACCGGATCATCCAGTAACCGTCGATGTGAGTCAATGGCCCACGGACGAGGTGTTGCGCGAGTTGTGTTTCAGCCTCCTCGCGGACCAGCTCGACCACGATTTCGACGAGGCCGAATCCGCGGCGAGTGATGGCGAGTGGGCCATTTGGGCTCACTGCAAGAGATCTGCACTCAGCTGCGGACAGGCCATCGAGGAGATGTCCCCGCGACCGGGGACATATTCTCGTGCTGCTCGACGAGCATGGGACCACTTCCAGAGGGAATTGGAAGTGGTTCCTCTCGAGTTCGATCCTCTGCTGGTTGCACCATTACCTATGGAGATGGTGCGATATTGGGCCTACAACAAGCTGGGATGGCTTGTTGTACCACCTCGCAGTCAACCTCAGGATGACTCCGACTGGTACAACTCCTCTGATGAGGAGCCTCGTACCACAACTCGTGAGGATTACTCTGACCATGTTGAGTCAGAGTCTCTCTCCGAGTCCGAGCATCATAGCTCGTGGGATTCTTCGAATCCAGGTTCTGAGGGGGCAAATTCAGTAGTAGTCTCTGACTACTACGAGCAGTCCGAGATGGAGGATACCTACAGTTTTTCTGCACTATCTGCTGAAGACGAGGGTAACTCCGAAGATGCAGACTATTACTCGGAGTCCGAGTAGTAGTCTACATGCTGGTTGCACAACTCTGTCGAGTTGTGTATGACAATGGTGAACGGTCGTGTCGGCTCACTGATGTGAAGTAGTTTGTCGCTGTCTACAGTTCAACATCATCGTTGTCTTGCCAATTGCTACCACCGTTGGGTGGTTGCATGTACTATTCCTTTCTTTCCTTTTTCTCTCTGTTTCTCTGGTTATCGCTGGGACCCGTGGTCGTGTCCAGTGGGGGAGAGTGTAACGGATATTCCCGTTACGGTATATCTTACATTACATATTTGTCCTTGTTTGCTCCAGGACTCGTATGGCGCGCCGGCGCACCTACGAGTCCTCAGCCTTTACCTCGTCACCGCCTTTGTATGCAATCTGTAGACAGTACCTCTTGAATAGAGACTGGGTGCAGCGCATACGAGGCACGACGAGTAAGGCGCCTTACAAAGGTACACTCTCGGAGGCTGCCCAAAGTACTGTCGTTGAAGTTCTGGGTCGCTGACGTCACACGTGCATTTGCGCAGTCCCACAGATTGCCTGCGGGAGTCGCTTCCGTCAAGCTAGAAGATAATGGGCCCATTGATCTCACAAGCGATGACCCAGTTCCACCTGATGACGACAGCATTGAGCTTGTCCCCTCCCCTCGGGGTGGCGATTTGAACCTTACCAAACAGCGTCCACGTGTTGCCAATGTTCTCCGGGCTGGGATCACCAAGGCACTGATTGACATGATTTTCGTAGATGCATTCCCTGATGCCTTGCGGGATGACGTAGTCGCGAACACGCTCCTGGAGTGCGCAGAAGCTCTCGGTGATCAGGCCATACGATCCCGCTTGCTGAGCGACAAGGACTACCGTGATGCAATGACAGCGATTGTAAGTTAATCGGAGTTCGAAGCTGGTGTTGTGCTGATAGACGAGGTTGATGCAGCCTGCTCAGCGTGTCAGTAACCATCGCGGAGACATCAAGAAGAAGACCGATGCGCTGGTTCACGGTTACTATGGGTGCAATACATTCGAAGACAAAGACGAGCTCCAGGAGGCTATACAGTGGCTCAAAGAGGAAGGGATGTATCATTATCCCTGTGATCCGAAGGTGCGTACATCATTCATATATCCTTCCGAAGCTTGGTACAATGGTACTGTGAACATAGGCTCGCACTTTTGACGGTGGCAAACCGTACCTTCATCCGATCATTGAGTCGGCATTCAAGCAAACATTGTTTTACAAGAGGCGGAGCTTCGGCAACGCTCACTGCCTGGATCTGTTCGAATCATCCCTTCCTGAAAAGCCTGATGAGAAGGAACTGCCGACAGGCGCAGTAGCTCTCATTGCGACTGCGGTACGAATTTGCTTGGTGACGTATTCACTCTGCTGATGGTCGGAAATTCTTTTGTACTAGGTTTACGCATCCTTGAATGACTGGTCATCGGGTGAACAGTCGGTCTCGAACTTCGATGGTGAAAGCTTTACCAATGTCTATGCTCTGCACACTCAAGTGCTGGAGACCATCAAGAAGAAGAATGCGAAGAAATACCATGTCCTGATGCATGGTCTTCTCAACAGGATCATGTAAGTTTTATCTGTGCTTCTAAGTTCTAATAGTCGGGCAATTGCTTACGGACAACAACTCCCTGCACAGCGGCGTCAAAGCAAAGGTTAAGAATGAGAAGACTACGGCGGTCGAGAAGGCATTACGCCTCGTTGATGTGGATGCTATGGCGGACTCGGATTGACTCGGACTCTCGGATTGACTCGGACTCGGACTCGTTCATTGATCTCCTACTATACAACCACTTTTAATGTCATGATGGTGCCCATTGGCATCTCTGCAACGGGTTAGACGTGTGATTGCGCCGTGTGATGCCAGAATCCAGATGAGAAGCCTCTACCAATGAGTGATATGACTTCGCTATCCCGTCCTAGAGTACTGCTATTCCGTCCTAGGATACTGCTACTCCGCCCTATGATCCTGCTCTTCCGTGCTATTCACTTTAATTCTCGCCGGACTGTCAAACTTTTACTATCCCTCCATTTCTGATAAATAGCACTAAATAGCACTATTTATGGCTAAATCGCCGGGGGGGTTTTTCCCGATGTAGTCAGTTATGCTACATACTAGTCGATGAGTCTTATGCTCCCGCATGCTGAGATATCACTCACCGTCGAGGACCGTCAATGGTGTGAAGCGGCTCGCCTTAAAAGTGGACTCAAGTCCGGCTTCGTATTGACGATTGCGCACGCACATACTCACTTTGGTTGGCGATCTGCGAACGGTGATTGATATTTCGACGAAAGGGAAGGTAGACCTATCAGAAAGTCACAACATTCCATGTACAATCAAGCGCGGCGCAGCAGTGTACCATTCGACTGTCGGCCCTGAAGGTCTGGACATCTCAGCAGGTCAAAATCGGCATCATCATATTAAACAAATTCCACAGCCCTACTCTGCAGCTTAGAACTCCTTAACGCCCCACGGACAATATGCCACGCCTCGCATATTCCACGGACACGACTTTTGTTGCACGTTCCCCTTCTCGTCGGATGCACGACAGTGCATCATCCCGTGTACCCCTTCCACAACAGTGGCGGAAATCGACCACAACGTCCAGCTCCACTTCCCGCCTTG